TCTCAACGGCCCCGAGCCGGGGCTGCCCTCATTGCATACATAGTGCGCCTTTCCCTGCTTTTCTAGTGACCTAGCGTTCCGCACTGCCATTTGGCCAGCCCATGCTCCCGTACCGTTGCGTTTCTCCCCAATGCGCCATGCCACTTTGCCAGTCATACACACGTTTCGATGCGTGCCCTGTCAGCTGCTTGCGTTGCATGTCGCCTTGCTCCACCCTTGTTTTATTGCTTTCTCTGCTTTCGCCCGGTTCCCGTCCCGTTTCGGCGGGGAGTCTATGTTGCAAGTTAGTTCTTGCTTTACCAGACTTTAAGCCCACACAAGCACAAGCAAGAGTTTGAGTTGCCCGATTCCACCGCAGCGTTTGCCCGGTTTGTGTTGGAACACGACGCCCTGCAGATTGGCAAGATTGCGCCCGAGTTCTTGGAGCCCTGCTTCGTGCAACTCTGCAAACACCACAACCTGCGCGTCTTCGCACACCTCCGACCTGACGGAGTTTTCGTACGGTATATCGTGAATTCGATCCTGCCTTCATCAAGGCCAATACACAAGCCACGCGCCGCTAGCCGGTCAGGATAAGTTATCTGACTGCGAGCGCAGCTTTGTGTTTGAATGGCAATGGATCATGATCAGCGGGGTGCGATGCGCAGCCGCCCCATGTGCCATTGCATCGCGCTCATACCTCATGTATGAGGCAGGTATACCGGCCGCAGCAGGCAGCAGGAAGCGGGCGCAACAATAGGCACATATCGGCAATGAGAAGCGGGCAATGCAGCAGGCAGCAGGCTGGCGTGATTACGCCCGCTGATGGTTCAGTTAAGTTCCGACACAGCAGCCGTCCACTGCTTCAGTATCGACTGTTGACGCCTCAACCAGCAGTGCGCATGTGGGAGCAGGCATCATTCACATTTGCATTCATCAAGTTCTTGTGTGTTGCCTGGGAGCACATTTCATGGACACGACCAAAAGACGTGTAAAGTTGATGTTAAACAGGTGTACATGAAAACAGGAAATGGGTGAATCGATTGGCATGCGGAACAACAAGGTGTGTGAAGAGGGGTTAACACAGTAGATGGGTGCAGCCAGGTTAAATCCGGACAGGTTTGATTGGAAAGTTATCAAGTGTGCACATAAACGGCGTTCTTGACGTGGGCGCTGAGAACGGTAGAAGAGCTGGCAAGCAGATCCAGAGCACAAAAGTATGGGTGAGTGGGGTTTCGCTTCGGTCATGGAGCAGTGAGCCGAGCCAAGGCAATCCTGCAACCCCAGAGGGCAATTCTCCTCCATGAGCGTGCTATCCTCTCCCCGCAGAACTGGCCTTGCCTGCCTTCCGCAGCAGGTCTGCCTCTGCGGTATCCAGCGCCCAGCCCAGGTGCGACAGGTCCAGCACCAGGCTCAGCTGCAAGAGAAAAGCCAGCAACAGAGGGAAGCACGGAGGCATGGAACAGATCAGAACTGTGGCAACTCTCTTGAGTCAACTCCAACTGGAAACCTGCTGGGTCTGAGCCTGCCCCTGCTCGCCTGCCTCGCCCACCCCACCCACCTCTTGCCGCTTCCAGTGGAAGCTGCACGTCTTGCTGAGCTGCTCCGGGCACTCGCCCCTGTCCAGCAGCGCCACCTTGTCCGCGCTGCAGGACGGCGGGGAGGGTGGGATGCAGCTGGACAGGCCAGAGGCGCCCATGTGCTGCGAATTCGGCCAACTCACCCTGGCCCCACACCCTGCCAGGTCTGCAGCCGGGGCCTATGGCAGGATCATTATGCAACAAATCACCGCGCTGCACTGAACCCAGACCCCGCCTCACTCGCTCAGGCGCTGGTAGTCCTCCTGCTTCGAGATCACCTCCCACCGCATGTGCTGGCGGCTGGGGTCGGAGTTGTTCAGTGGCACAAAGCTGAGCCCCGTGAAGCCCCAGTCGCGCACCTGCAGGCGCATGTGGGCAGGCAGGCATGCGCAGGCATGCGTGGGTGCCTAGCGAGGGGGAGGGAGGCCACCAGGCGCCCTGTTTGCACACATCTTGCTCGGTCGACAGCTGGACAAACACAGAACACCCCTGCTCGCCGCCAGCGCCGCCCCGCCTGCTCACAAATGCCTCCGCCCACACGCGCTGCAGCGAGTCGGTGCTCTCCACGTCTGGCGAGATGTGGATGGCCACCGCCTTGGGGGGCAGGAAGGGCCACAGCGCGATGGCCGAGCCGTGCACCATGACCAGGATGCTGACGCTGCCCATGATGCGCAGCTGGTCGGGGAAGGGGACGTCCTGCACACAGGGGGGTGCACGAGCAAGTGCGCATTGCAGGGGTACAAAAGAGGGTGCGAGATAGTGACAAATCTTTGTGGTGAGAGGTTGCGACGAATGGTTGGGGCACAAAAAAGGGGGGTGCGAGCGAACTGATGAGGGTGCGAAACAAGGCTATGCACAGGCCAGGGCAGCTGCATCCTGGGGTGGACTGTTTGGTGTGGTCATTCCTTTGCTGTGCGTTCCACCCCCTCACCTCAAAGTACTGCAGCCGCACATCGTCCCCGGGGAAGCGCTGCCGCACAAACTTCTCCACGCTGCGCACGTTGAGCATGTGGCGGCCTGGGGGACAGTGTGGCGCAGGAGCGCATGGGAAAGCATGAGAAGGACCTGGAGGGGCATGCACGGCCAGCTGACCAAATGCGGGCCAACTCAGAACCTGGCCTGCCGCTCAAAAGTGCACGCCGCCCACTCGCACGCCTGGCAGGACAGTGCATCACCCAGCCCCCACACCCCACCCATCAACTCATCCACCCAGCCCACCCACCTGCCTCATACGGCCTGTCCAGAATCAGGACAGTTTTGTTTTGCACGGGGGCAGGCGTGTGAACATCAAGGCCGTAACACGCGCCCAGCCGCTCCCGCCACACCTGCAGCGCATCCGGCGGCATGCCCGCACGCTTGTCCTGCCGCTCCGCACCATACTCGGTTTCACTGCGCGCGAGAGTGGGGGGGGATGTGGGAGGCACATGTTGGTGTGGGGGCAGTTGGGCAGAATGCATGCACACATTGCTGACATTTGCCGAGCGGACTCCAAGCCAGGCATGGACACACAGGGCCCAGCCTCTAGGTGGTGCAGCAGCGCACACCTGGAGCAGCCGCGCTGCGCGTGGCAGTCTGGCCCTATCCCCGACCAGGCCTTGTCTAAAACCACCGTCTGCAGCGCGGTACGGCAGGCAGGCGCCTCAAGGAAGACACGGCAGAAAGAAAGCTTGTTGGCAAACATACATGTGCTGCCTTGCAGAAACACTAGCTGTGTGTGTTGCTGCTGCACACAGACAGACCTTGCGCTCCAGCCGCGCGTCGTCACGGTAGACGGGCGGCCAGCCGGTGACGCAGCGCGCCAGCGTGGCGTTGACTGGCGCCAGCAGGGCGCCACGCTCCCGCGAGTGCAGCAGGAACAGCTGCACCTCTCGTCGCGGCGGGTAGCTGCACTCCCCCAGGTGCCGGCAAAGCGTGTTGTGCAGGGTCACCGCCTGGTTGAAAGCGCAGCAGGGGCGGCAACACGACCGGTTTGAGGTGGGGCTGGGACAAGGGCTGGCGACAGCAGGCAGCAAGCAGGCGAGAGGCACCATGAGGATGCAACAGGCATGCTGCGCCCTAGTGCCAGCAACCCCACAACCCCGACTGTTGCCGGCGCCGACTCACATCCTCTCCAAAGTGGTGAGCCAGGTTGTCCCACCGCTTGGTCACCTTCCACAGCCAGGACAGCGGCACACTGAACCACTGTGGAGCGCAGCACAAAGGGCAGGGAGGCACGTGGGTGCGCGAGGCACGCCCGACAGGCACAGTCAGGCAGAGGCAGGCAAAGCGCACATTCCCAACACACCTCGTTCTCGCCCTCGAGAAGGAAGCCCGCCGCGCTGCGGTGCAGCAGCGTGGGGGCGTACTTTTCGTCTGCAGCTGGATGGTAGGTCACATCCACGGTGGGCAGCTGCAGCTCCTGGTCTGCAGCAGCACATGGCCCGTGCAGATGCTTCAGCAGCAGTTACAAGCAACTCCGCATGGGCACTGCCTGCAGCACGCATGAAACGATCCAGGTTTGGGGGCAGCTAGTGGCTGAGGTGAGCCTCAAGTGGCGGTCGGCAGCAAGCAACCTGTGCGAGCATTCTGCAACAGTCTCCGAATCGGGCATTCGCTGGCCAGCTGCATCTCGTACATCGCACACTGCCAGACGGGCGCTGACCAACACAGCAGGTCCCCTCCCAACACACCGTCGGTCAGGTAGTAGGCGGCGCAGCGGTGCAGGATGAGGCTGGAGAACTCGCACACGCGGTGGTTGGGGTCCTCGCCAGACGTGCACTGCAACATATGCTTAAGAGGCAGATCTGGTGGACAGGCACAGGTACAGTCGACATTGCGCAACAGGCCTGCTCAGGCAGGCAGGCAAGCAGGCGGGCAGGAAATGACTCCCAGCCCGATGTCGTGTGCAGGCACAGCTGGGTCTGGGGGCGTGTCTGGCAAGAGCTGCTGTCCTGATATTTAGCCCCCGGCGGGCGGCGCAGCCCCCGCCACCACCAACACTTGCCTTGTGGGAGCTGCGTGGCAGCGCCCTGAGCGTGCGCGGCGGCTCATCCACTCGCTGCAGGTTGTATTGCCGCTCCGCTCCAGACGCGTCTGCTGCCGCTGCCCCCGCCGCTACATCTGACCGGTTGCGATGCAGCGCCCACACGCTGCCTGCCAGCACAAGTCCCAGCAACGCGACAGCCTGTGGCGAGAGCCGTCTGTTGTGGTGACTGCGCGGCGACGACAGGTGCGGCCTGCTGCCGCCGCTGCCGCCGTTGAGCGGCTGTTCGTGCGTCATGGCCGCGCCGCTGCCGCTGCTGCTGGTTGGCGGCGGATCACTAGCTCGGGCCGGCTACTGCATGCCTGCCACTCTTCTGCTGGGCAAGACAGCCGTTGCAGGTGTGGAGAGGCAGAATTATTGAGGACAGATGGAGCTGGGCGGCAGAAGGTGCGGTGGAACTATAACATAATGCAGAACACGATAGCAACCATCGCTGGGACGGCGGATTCTCGCGAGCGCCGAAATTGTACCGCGCATGCACGGCTGGAAGCGATCTGGCTGAACCAGGGGAATTTCCACCGCCCCGGCATTGAGAACCAATCTGCAAGTGCATGTGCGGCATTCTAATCTAATACCAGCAACACACTCCTGCTTGGTGCGTCCTCCCTCGCATGTCTTGTTCTTTTTTGTATCCCTAGTAGGTCTGGGGCAGACCTCGACACCAGCTCTGGCCTCTGGCGCAGGTTGAACTGGGGCTGCCGCCAGTGCCGCCAGTGCCGCCAGCAGCCACCCGTGGCGTTGGTCGCAGGCGCGAACCGACTCTTTTCGGCACAGCTGAGAAGCATGTCAGCCTCGGGTCAGCTAGTACACTGGTTGCATAGCATGTCTGCAGCTCTGCGCAGCAGCGACTCGACCCAACCTGCCCCACCCCAGGCGGAACCACCTGTCCCCGTTGGGCAACCAGGGCTGTCGCTGTCATCTAGTGGTGCAGTGCTGCTGTTCAACACACTGGTTATTACATGTGCAGGGCTCCGGCGGTGGTTTCCAGTGGCGAGATCTCTAGGCAGGCAGGCGCTCGCAAAAAAGTAGGTAGGCAGCGGAACAGCAGGGAACACCTGTCGAGTTGCAAACTACGGGTTCGTATCATATTCATGGGTTCATATCATGGGGGGGATGCCAGCAAGCAGCACTAGCACTCTTGTATGTCTTGCGCGTTTCGTCGATCAACACGCGATCCTCGTGGCAGCAGATGGGGCAATGGCCCGCGTCTCCTGCCATGCGCCCACCTCCGTCCCTCCAGCGTTTTCACTTGGTGGTGGTGGCCTCTGTGGCGCGGTGCTGAGCCTCGTGGCCTGCCTCCTCAGCCCTGTGCTGGGCGTGCTCCATCTTCTCACCTGCAGCCACAAGTTGGCATCACTTCAGCGGTGGGTGGAACGGGAGCAGGCGATGCGCACCTGGTTGTGCTTGCCCAGGATCTTTTTTGCTGCCAAGCAGCTGACAAGTGCGCAGTGCGCCAAATGCCGTAACCACAATCAGGCTGTCAGAGCGGGAGTGGTGCTCGTCGTCTTGCTGCGCCCCTTACAATAGCCACAAGCCCACCTGCACGGTGCGGAATCTCCTCCACCTTGGCCTTGGTCTGCAAGCCGGTGGGCAGGAGGATGGATGGCGGGCAGCAGCATGAGCACAGAGAGCATTGAGTACGGAACACAGGAAGACAAGATGAGCGCTCTAGGCGGGGCTGGGCGCCCAGCTTCAGGCCCTGTGGTATCTGCCGGGCAGCTGCACGAGCGGTGGCGGCAAGGATGCAAGGTGGCAGCATTGAGGCAGCCCACTGACCTGAAAAGCCTTGTCCTTTGTGGCATCCCATGCCTTGCCAGCCGCCTCGCCGGTGGCAGCAACCGAGTCGGCCAGCCTCTCGCCGATGGGCTTGCTGCTGGACATGGCTTGAGTGGTGTGGTGGAAGGGTGGGCAACTGGGCAACAAAGGGCAGGTTGGGGGTTGGTGGCTGGGAGTACAAAGGAAACTCAATTTAGTGGTAAAACGTGTGCCTTGGCCGAAGATAGCCAGCGTGCAGCGTGAGTCAGACATCTCAGGATTTGGTAGCTCTTAGCTGGCCATGACCTGTCATGATTTGGTCATGGTCAGACCAGCAGCTGCCAGCTCTGTGGGTACTAAACAACGCGCTTGATACATCTCTGCACTTCTTCAATCGCGCATTATTTACTACCTTCCACTGCTTTGCACGCGCTTTCAGCCCTCCCCGCCTCCTGCAAGCAACCATGTTCGCGATGACTCTCGCCGCCCCCACTCGCGGCTTCATGGCAGCGCGCCCGGCAATGCTGATTAACAGGAAGGCTTACCGCGTTGCACATGTGGCCCGGGCAGGGGTGAGCTGGTGGCAGGGCTGGTGGCAGCAGCCTGCCATGGTGCCATCAGAACTTTGCCAGAAGAACACGCGTTGCACGACTGCATTGCCACAGCTGGACGTATGCTGATGTGTGGTCATGCCCTCGCCCATTACAGCCAGATGCTTCTAAAAAATCTCCCCCTGCGCCCCCCGCACCGCCAGCTATTACATAATCGTGACCGTCTCTAACTGGTCTTCTTGCAGGACCAGACCGCGACAGAGAAGGCCAAGCAGGCATACGAGTCTGCCAAGGGAGACCTCAGGTGGGCACTGGTCAACCATTGGCCTGGGGAGAGCTGATGGGGCTAGCCAGCGGGGGTGGATCAAACATGCCACATGGTGCAGTCTTGCACATCTACGAGCGCATGCTAACCGACAAAACATCCCTGCCACATCCCCCCCTCTTGCAGCGAGTCCGCCCAGCAGGTGAAGGATCGTGTGGGCAGCGCCGCTGAGGACGCCAAGGACCGGCTGAACGACGTTGCCGAGGACCGCCAGGAGAAGCTCGGCGATGCCAAGGAGAAGGTCGGCGACGCCCTGTCCAGCGCAGGCGACTCTGCAAAGGTGGGCAGGAGTGGTTTGCTGCTGCGGGTGTGTACTGCAGCAACCAATGCCAAGGATGGTGTGTGTGCTGCTCAATCAAGCGAGCAATGGTGGTGAACTTCCTAGTCTCATCTGCTACTCTTGCCCATCCCCTCCAGCAGGACACTTACGAGAGTGGCAAGGAGAAGGCCGGCAGTGTGGCAGACACAGTGGCGGAGAAGGCAAACGCCGCTGGCAACGCTGTGAAGGTGGGCTGCGCAGCATCGCAACTGTTGAAAGCTCTCTGCTCATTTTCCGTCAGAACAATGCGCAGGCAGCTCAATGCTTCAGAGTTGGCATTTTTCTGCTTGCCCACCCGCAACGTACATGCGCCACTGCATCTTGTCGCGGTCTCACCTCTTCCCCTCTCTACCCTGCCGGCAAACTGCAGGAGACTTACGAGAGCGGCAAGGAGAAGGCCAGCGATCTTGCCGGCCAAGTGGTGGACAAAGTGAAGGATGCCGGCCACGGTGTCAAGGTGCGTGCTAGCTTCCCTCCTGGCTGTGTGCAACGGAATTGCACAGAGATCACAAACTGTCGGCAGAATTGCTAATGTCAACTCGACCCCTGCTGCATATGTGCAGGACGCCATTGGGGATGCTGCCCACCGCATCGAGGAGGCAGCAGACCGCCATTAAGCGCAAGTGTTGAGGTGCGCCAGGATGTGCATCAAGTAATGCTGCTGAGCTTCGCATTCCATGCTGGTCAGCAGCCTACCTTGCCTGCAGCCGGGCCAAGTGTTCTCGTGCCGCTGTGCGTCCGCCTCCTGCCTGCAGGTTGTGAGCATGTCCCAGAAAAGGCCCTCAAGAGCTACTCAATCGAAGAGTGATTCAGCCACGAAGGGAATGAACCCGCATACACAGCTTGACAGTCGGCACATGGTTGGCTGCCAGGTTCATTTCCATGCATGATACGAAGCAGCACCGGCGACCTTACATCTGCGCGCATGCATGGTATGCCCAAATCCGCTGCACCCTCCTGTAAACTAGATCCCTCTGTTCAATGGTTGTGAGGCGGCTCATTGATGTGTGAGTGACATCTGGTTGGTGATGCAGCAGCCTGCTGTGCGCAGAGGCTTGCACCTGCGTTCGCTGCCGACAGTCCGCCGCCACCGGCCCATGAGTTGGTCGCGGCTAAGAAAGGCCTTCTTTGAAGGCGCTGGAGCTAGTGTCTAAACCCTCCGAGAGGGCTCAGGTTCGATTCCTCCCATGTCGAAACTTTGTGAGGACAAACGCGGCATAGCCGACCGGCTCAGCGCCAATCCAAGCCAATTCCTTCGGGAACGCCTAATAGAATCGCCAAGGCTTCGGCACAGGCCTCCCCGGGACCCATTCACTACTAGTGGGGGGTACTGCACTTGGCGCGTCGGGCAGATCAAATAATGGTCTAAAGCTAGACGCTAAAACCGGGAAGTTAAGCCTGTGGAGGCTCTTCCCCACCTTTACCTTTACCTATGAGCGAGCTGCAGCAGGGGAAGCGCCTGCCGCCACCGAATGGATACCGTCTGCTGGCTGCATCTCTGCAATAAAGATCTTTGGAGGAGGCTGGTTGTCTTGAGGCAGCAGCGGGCTGAATCGGCAGCAAGAGGCGAGCGGTGCAAATGTCAAGAGATAAGTCGTCCATACATGATTGCATCAGTGAAGGAAAAGGCAGAACAAAGCCTTGAGCAACTTTTCTTGTGCCACTGTTTCTACCCATCGAACCCGCAGCTTGCAACTCGTCCAGTTTCCCTGCTGGGCCGCTACCTGCCTACCTTTTGCGAGCGCCTGCCTAGAGATGGCGCCACCAAAAACCACTGCCCGAGCCCTGCTGAGGCATATGTAACAACAGTTTGTCGAAGACAGCAGTACTGCACCACTGGATGACAGCGACAGCCGGGTTGTCCAATCGGGACAGGTGGTTCCGCCTGGGCTGGGGCAGGTTGGGTCGAGTCGCTGCTGCGCAGAGCTGCAGACATGTTGTGCAACCCGCAGAGCTGCAGACATGCTATGCAACCAGTGTACTAGCTGCCCCGAGGCTGACATGCTTCTCAGCTGTGCCGAAAAGAGTCGTTCGCGCCTGCGACCAACGCCACGGGTGGCTGCTGGCGGCACTGGCGGCACTGGCGGCAGCCCCAGTTCAACCTGCGCCAGAGGCCAGAGCTGGTGTCGAGGTCTGCCCCAGACCTACTAGGGATACAAAAAAGAACAAGACATGCGAGGGAGGACGCACCAAGCGGCCAAAGCAGGAGTGTTTTCCTGGTCTTAGGTTAGAATGACACACAGACACTTGCAGATTGGTTCTCAATGCCGGGGCGGTGGAAATTCCCCTGGTTCAGCCAGATCGCTTCCAGCCGTGCATGCGCGGTACAATTTCGGCGCTCGCGAGAATCCGCCGTCCCAGCGATGGTTGCTGTCGTGTTCTGCATTCTGTTATAGTTCCACCGCATCTTCTGCCGCCCAGCTCCATCTGTCCTCAATAATTCTGCCTCTCCACACCTGCAACGGCTGTCTTGCCCAGCAGAAGAGTGGCAGGCATGCAGTAGCCGGCCCGAGCTATTGATCCGCCGCCAACCAGCAGCAGCGGCAGCGGCGCGGCCTTGACGCACGAACCGCCGCTCAACGGCGGCAGCGGCGGCAGCAGGCCGCACCTGTCGTCGCCGCGCAGTCACCACAACAGGCGGCTCTCGCCACAGGCTGTCGCATTGCTGGGACTCGTGCTGGCAGGCAGCGTGTGGGCGCTGCATCGCAACCGGTCGGATGTAGGGGTGGGGGCAGCGGCAGCAGACGCCTCTGGACCGGAGCGGCAATACAACCTGCAGCAATTGGATAAGCCGCCGTGCACGCTGAAGGCGCTGCCACGCAGCTCCCACAAGGCAGGTTCTGGTGGTGGCGGGGGCTGCGCCACCCGCCGGGACTAGATGTCGGGACAGCAGCACTTGCTTCGTTGCCAGAGACGCCCCAGACCTGGCTTTGCTTGCACATGACATCGGGCTGGAAGTCATTTGCTGCCTGCATGCTTGCGTGCCTGCTGAGCAGGTTTGTTGCGTATTGTTGTACCTGCGTCTGTGCCATTGCATCTGTGGCAGGAACAACTGAAGTGGCCTAAGTTTCACACCGAGGGCTGCTTGCTGGCCCTCCTGGAACAGTGATTCACGTCAGTATGTCTGAAGGGCGAGTACAGTCAGCAGCGCTGGCCATCCACCGCCCAGCTGCTGCCGCCAACGCCGCCTGTACGAAGGCCGTGCCGACATCGAACTGCCAGCAAGTCTTTGGCGCAGCTGAGAGAGATGCCAGCCTCCAAATGAGATGATCGGCTGTCAGGAGTTGCGCTGCTTTCGGCGGCACTCTCACAGCTCGACATCACGACAAGCCGCTCAGGACAGCTGCAACCTTGGTGCAGCATCAATGCCGCCACTTGCCTGCAGCATTGCAGCTGCTGGGTCCATATGACTGACACGCCATGGCTGAAGCAACGGGTATGGCGGCGATGTCGGAGCAGAATGTGCACGACATGCCAAATGCGACGGCAATCTACCTGAGGGGCACAGGTGTGTTGTGACGGCTCGGCCATGTCCTTGGTGTTTCGATGTTGTGCTCGAACCAGCACCTACCCACCTGCCCTTTGTCTGCAGTGGCGGTATAGCTGGCATGGGTTGGCAGCAGCTTGGGCACATGGAGGTGACCTGCTGATGCACCCTTCCCTTCACTGTGTGCGACCATTCAACACTCAGCAAGATGCCTGCCGCTCACGGCTGCCGCATCAGCGTGCCACCAACGCCAGCTTGTTGGCAGAAGCCAGCACATTCCACCCGAAACAGCAGCCGGCTAGGCGAACGCCAGTCACCTGGCTGGACGAGCTTCGACACCCGGCGGTTGACTGAACGATGAGGCGCAGGCTTTTTCGCAGCTGGTTTGGAGCTCAACTACCATCTCAAGCAGTTATTACACTCCGGGCAAATTAATGCACTCCAAGGAACACTCAATTGGCCTAGAAGTGTTAACGAAACACTTGCAAGAAAGATGACATCTCAGATTGCCCAGAAGAAGGCTGGTGTTTAAAGCATGTGGGGGCGTGCGTACTTTTGCTGGGATGTGGGGGAGGGGGCGACCACGAGGGTGGGGTGAGCTGGCGCGCGAATATGTTCAGGGAGAGCATTGCAGTCCACCGTTGGAATCAGGGCACATGCATCGGGAAATGTGCGTGCCGAGGTCACAACAGCTGCGCGGCCAGGAAGGCAGCCAGGACGGCGAAGGGCAGGCCGGCGTTGCACAGCGCCCAGGCAGCAGAGGACGGGGTGGGGGCAGGTGCGGGTGCGGATGCGGGCACGGGCTCAGGGGTGGTGCCAGAGGCGGCCTCGCTCGTGGTGGCCACGCCCTCGGGGTAGGTGAGGAAGACGCTGGAGTGGTGGGGGGAGCAGTCGTCGAGGACGCCCAGGGCATTGGCCATGGCGGCCAGCGCGTCCCTCACAGCGTAGCCCTCCTGCACGATGCAGCGCCGCTGCTCCATGGTGGCGGCGCTGTACCGCTTGTAGTCCGCGCCCAGCAGGCCGTCGATGAAGGTCTGGTTAACGGCGGCGGCGCCGACGTTGTCCACCACATCCTGCGATGCAGTGGGAGCAGGGGCGGCGCGACGCAGATTGGGGCCAGAACACGCACCGCGCGATGGTGTGCACACGATGAAAGAAGGCCAGCAGGCACAGCTGGCAGGCTGACCCCGCCGTGCAGCCTTGGGTGTGGTGCAACGGTTAGACAGACGCACGGCAACCTGATTCCCACCTCGGTCTCGATGTCCAGGCACTCCACGGCGTCCTTGACGGCAGCCACAAACGTGTCGCACTCGGCTTGTGCCAGCGGGCAGAAAGGCACGGCCTGCAGGTGGGCACAGCGGGACGCCACCCAGGCAGCACACATAGCCTCTGAGCCCCAGCTGGCTGGCATGCCCGGCGGCACACAGGCAGTCGCGTGGCGGCAGTTGCGCATGCACGTACGCTGCGCCGCACGCCAGCGCTGGCTGCCGCGCTGTCGGCGGGCCCCACCTGCGACAGGATGCCCTTCCAGTTGTTGTAGAAGATGAGCTGCGACAGGTCGCTGCTCGTCTCCTCCTCGCTGCTGACCTTCTTGGCCACCACCTCGCTGGCCAGGTTCAGCATGCCCTCCAGGCTGGAGGCGGAGGTGAAGAGCTGCGGGTTGGTGCTGTTCAGCGTGGTCTGCAGCTGCTGCAGCGTGGTCTCCACGCCCTCCGCATACGCCAGCGTCTCTGGGCCCAGGTCGCCATCCCTGCACGCCGGCGCACGTTGGGGGGGTGAGAGACGGGTGAGCGCGCAGCCGTGCCGCTCGGGAAGCCGGCAGCGCACACGGCCGCTGGAGCGGGCCCCGCTCCAGCCGGAAACCGGAAACGTCTATTCATGCATGCCAGGGGCGGCTGTGTTGTACAGTTGTACGCCCGCCCTCGGCGCCACCTGTACACCAGGCGCTCCAGCCTGTGGAAGCCCTTGAACAGATCGGACAGCTCGCCCTCGGGGAAGGAGTACTCCCGGGCGTCCAGGTTGGCGTCCAGGCCGGGGAAGCTGGTGGCCAGCACCTGGAGGCCGCAGGCGGGGCGAGGGGCGGCGGGAGATGACGCGGGGCTGCTGCCCCATCCTGGCGTTGCCACCCCCCTCTCACGCTGACGCGTGGCCTGCCTGTGTGTGTGCAATTCACGGGGGGGGCACACAGCAGCCAGAACTCGAGCCATGGCGTGGCAGGCGCACACCCACCCACCTCCACTTGCTCGTAGATGGGGCGGGTGGCGGGGTACAGCGCCCTGGCGGCCTCCAGGTCGCCCGCCGCCACGGCGCGGGTGAAGTTCTGGGAGGCGGCGATCTGGTAGGGCAGCAGGGCTCGGAAGTAGTCCAGGCCGCCCAGTATCTCGGGGGTGTCGGCGGTGTAGAGGGTGGGGGTGGTGGTGGGGGTGCACTCGACCTCGGTGCCGCCCGAGGCCTCGCCCTCGGCTGCCGCCTCGCCCGCTTCACCCGCTTCTCCTGCTTCACCCGCTTCACCTGCCTCGCCGGCCTCGCCCGCCTCGCTGCCTGCCGCCAGCTTGATGTCCAGTGCCTCGGCGGCCTGCGCCGGCATGCGGTGGGTTGGCGCGGGAGGGGGGCGGCGGCGGGGGGCGAGGCGAGCGAGGGCTGGCCTCTGCTCTGGTAGCGGTGGCGTCGCACGCCGGCGCCGCCATGCACCAGGGCCACGAGTGCGGCGGCAGGCACGGCACTGGCTGGGCACTGGCCCCCGGGAGGGGTTGCCCCCCCCCCCCACACACACACACCACCACCACCACCACCAGCGCCGCCGACCAGCGCACCTCCTGCAGCAGCTCTGCCACCTCATAGAAGGCGTCCTGGATGAGGGCCCGTGTGGCGATGGGGACGGAGGAGTAGGGGGCGTAGGCCTTGCCGCCGTCGGCGGTGGCGTTGACCAGCGGCTCCAGCAGCGCCGCCGCCTCCTCCAGCCCTCGGCCACCTCCTCCGCCAGCGTGGCGTTGGCGGCCGCCAGGCTGTCCTCCCAGTGCTGGAACATCTGGGAGATGCCCTGCACGTGAGCAGGGAGGGCAGAGGGGGGCAGGAGGCTGGCTGGCATCGGTGGGGGCGGCGGCGGTCGAGGCCAAGCAGGGAGCGGGCGCGGCAGGCGGCAGGCGCCTGCGCCTGCTCCAGCTGGCGCGCGAGCCGAGGGGCAAGAAGCTTGGCCGCCGCCGCCCGCCCAGCAGGCCCGCGGGCGCCCAGCAGGCCGCGCGCACATTCTATACCCCTCCCGCCCCCCGTCCGCCCAGCAGGCCCGCCGCCGCCGCCAGCCTCGCACCAGCCCCTGTACCCCTGCCCGCACCCCTCCCGTACCGCTCCCGTACCGCCCCCGCACCCCTCCCCACCTCCAGGTTGTTGTAGAAGATGAGCACCGACTGGTCGCTCCACGTCTCCTCCTCGCTGTTGAACTTCTTCTTGGCCACCTTGCGCGCCACCTCGATGAGGCCTGCAAAGATCTGGGAGGCAGAGTAGGCCTCGGAGGTCTGCAGCTTGGACACGAGGGTCTTGTAGTCAGCCACCAGCTGCTCCGCCCAGGGCACGGCGGCCGCCAGGTCGCCGTCGCGGTACAGCAGCGCCTCGATGCGGTGGCTGCCCTGCAGCGCGGCGCGGGGGGCGCCGGCGGGGCGCGCGGGCGGTTGGAATGGGCGGCGACGGGCGGGCGGCGGCGGCGCCCCGCCCGGCCCCTCCATGTGCTGTTCAAGAAGCAATGTTCCAAGTGCTGGGGGGGACAGAAGCGCGGCGCGGGGCCTCCCGGGAGCTGGGTGCTGGTGCGGAAGGCGTGGAAGGCAGGGGGCAAGCAGGGGCAGGGGCTGGCAGGGGCATGCAGGGGCAGCCGCCCGGCTCGCCTTGAAGATGGCGCCGGGGGTGCCGATCAGGTCCTGGCTGTACGCCTCTCCGTACTGGTGTACCTCTGGGCGGGAGTCGATGTCCCTGCCGCACAGCAGGGAGGCAGTGGTGGAGAAGCACCACCCCCAGGCCCGCTCCCGCGCCAGACGCGGAGCGGGAGCAGCACCGCACGGGCGAGAGGCGTGGTGGTGGTTGTGGTGGGGGGAGGCAACCAGCGGGGCGGCGGCCCCTCACTTGTCGCTGTCGCCAAACACCTCGTACAGGTGCTCGATCTGCTCGTACTCAGGGCGCAGCTTGAGGTAGGCGGCCTTGGCGGCGGCGGCGTCGCCCGACCGGATGGCGGCGAGCAGGGCCTCGGCGTTGGCGACGGACAGCTCAGCGGCGCCGCGCGCAAACGCCACCACCTGGTCCACCGCGGCCTGGGACTCTGCACGGCAGCGACACGCAGCGCCCAGGGCCCGTGGGCGGCGGCGGCATGACAATGTGCAGCATGCATGAGGACAAGAAGCCCCTCGGCGTCGGCTCCCGGCCGCCCACCTGGGGTCGACTCCAGGAGGCGGCGCGCCTGCGTGCATGCATGGACGTTTGGAATGGAGTGATTGGCAGGGGCAGCTCGCGGGGGACACATCCAGCCAGGAGGAGGCTTTGAAAGCTCCGTGCAGCGGCCGGCATGCGCCGCTCCATGGCCATGCTGTCGGGGGTGGATGCCAAGCATGTGTTGCGCGATGCCGCACTCACCCGGCGACCGCTTTCTGTGCTGGTCAAGCTCATGCAGCCCAGGATAAGGGCGCAGAGGCCGAGGGCGGCAAAGCTCCCCATTGCGCCCGTCAACGCCATCTCTGCCCGGTCCTTGCTGCCGGCCCAGCGAACCTGGAAAAATAAAAATAAGACTGGATAGTGTGGATGAGGCTACTACAGAGGGTGCTCAGGCTGGAATGCGCACGGCACACGTCGCGCATGCACACGTGTGGGCATGTGTTGCCCCCTGATGTGGCACCCTCCCGATTGGGCAACCCCCGCCCCCGCTCGCTCCTGGCAGCCCGCGCGGCGCTCCCCTCCCATACGTGAACTGACCCCATAGAGCCATGTTTGAGGGTTGAGCGGGGCGGAGCGGGGCTGCTTGCACACGTGATGGCATGCACGCTTCAACGCTCCCGCTGTCATCTCACCTCTCTAGCGTCAGAAATACAACTCTTACAAGCCAACCAACACGAACAGAGAGACCGAACAACAGAAATGAACAGGAAATATGAAGCCGCCACAGGCGGCAGCACCTTTCAGCGGAGACGGCAAAGCGTACAAGGCACACTTCTTCAATGGTTCTTGCAATTGCCACCCTTACCGGTTATACAGCCACAGTGCCGCCCACACCGCGCACCATTCTTCTTGCAGCTGCAGTTCCGGGTGCAGGCGCCGCGGCAGCCGCAGCGCACGGCTGCCTTGCCGCCGCCGGGCTGCGCCGCCATCGCCACATTGAGAGACACCACAGGCACTCCTCGCTGCGCCGTGCCGCTGAAGGTCAGCTCGCTGGCCAGGCTGGGTGGCGCCTTAGATAGCCTGCTGGCCTGATGCATACCCTCCACCACTCCAGCTCCGCTCCGCAGCCGGTACATGGTCACGCCAAAGGGCCGCTTGATCTCCACACGCGGG